ATCCCCTCCAAAAAATGCTTACTCTCCAAGGACGAAACATTTTAGAAACCCCCCCAAAAAAAGGAGATAGGTTTGGGAAAGGAGGGAGAGAGAGAAGAAAAAAAAAATATCCGAACCGCAAATTGGAGAAACACGTCAGAATCCCAAGACCTTAAAGTGCCATCGGTTCTTCGTAGCTTATGGGAGAGGTTTTGAAACTAATATTCTTATAATTTGAAATACTGCCTCGGGTCGGAAGTTATCTGAGAGCAGAGAACGTAAAATGCAGATGAAGAGTTTTTCGAGAGCCAGGTAAAAAAAAAAAAAAAAAAAAATGGAAGGATAATAAGAAAAGGGAAGATAAATCGCACTGGTGGACATAGGGACGGGGAGAGGACGGGGAGGGAGAGGGGGAGGGGGATGGGAAGAGGGGAAAGAGGAATGGAGGAAGGGAAAGGAGAGGAGTCAAAGAAAAAGAGGGAAGAGGAGAAGGAGAAGATAGAAGAGGGGAGAGGAGAAGGTAGGAGGAGGGAAGGAGAAAGCAGGAGAGGGGAAGGAAAGGGGGGGGGGGGAGGGAAGAGCAGGATAAGGATATTGACAAGGAGTAAGAGAGAAAGGAAGAAGGAGGTGAGGGGGGGGAGGATGAAGAGAAAGTGAAGTGGGAAAGTTAGAGAAGATAAAGGATATGAAAAAGGATATTTAAAGAGAAATAAAAAGAGAACAGAGAAGATAAAGGGGAAAAGGGGAGAGGAGTCAAGAATAGAGAAAACGGGAAGAGAAGAAAGGGGAATGAGAGAAAGAGTAGGGAAGGAATTAGAAAAAAACGAAGGAAAAGGGAAAATAAAATAGAAACAAATGGAATATAAGTGACAAAGGGGTAAAGGGGTAACACCTTAAGAGGTTGTGAGTTTTTTGGAGAATGGAAAAAAGAAGAGATAAAAAATAAGAGAAGGATAAATAACAACTGTAAGGAAAGGAAGGTAAAGTGAGAAAGAGAAAAAATAAGATAAATAGGATAAAAAAGGTGTGCAGATGTGTGAGGTGATGAAGGACTGGAGGAGTAAACGAGAAAAAGAAGAAGAGAAAGGGAACAGTAAGAAGGAGAGGAATAGAGATGGAAAGACATGAAAGAACGAAAAAGCAAATGAGATAAAGAAAGAATGGAGAAGAAAATGGAGAAAAAAAAGAAATGGGGAGGGAAAAATAGAAGAAAAGTTAAAGGGCATGAAAGGAGAAATGGATAAAAAGAGATGAAGAGAAAAAGGAAATAGAGGGAAGAAAGAGAAGGAATAGGAGAGGGATGAAAAAGAAATCGGAAGAAGGTTAAGGATGGAGAATAAAAAGATGAAAAGATAAAGGACAGAAGAAAAGTGAAAAGAGAAAGAATAAAGAATAAAAGAAGAAAGAATAGGCAGGAAGGATAGTGAAAATAGAAGTGGGAAAAATTGAAAGGATGTTAGGACAGAAGAAAAAAGGAATGCAAATCACAGAGCAAGTAAGGTCTCGAAAAAAATAGATTTAGAAAAAATATATATAACACACACACACACACACACACACACACACACACACACGCACGCACAGACACACATACACACACGCACACACACATAACACAACACACCACACACACAACACACACACACACAACACACACATATATATATATAAATATATATATATATATATATATATATATATATATATATATATATATATATATATATATATATATATATATATATATATATATATATATATATATATATATATATATATATATATATATATATATATATATATATATATATGTGTGTGTGTGTGCTTCTGAGAGAGAAGAGAGAGAGAGAGAGAGAGAGAGAGAGAGAGAGAGAGAGAGAGAGAGAGAGAGAGAGAGAGAGAGAGAGAGAGAGAGAGGAGAGAGAGAGAGAGAGAGAGAGAGAGAGAGAGAGAGAGAGAGAGAGAGAGAGAGAGAGAGAGAGAGAGAGAGAGAGAGAGAGAGAGAGAGAGAGAAAGAAAGAAGAGAGAGAGAAAGAGAAAGAGAGAGAAGAGAGAGAGAGAGAGAGAGAGAGAGAGAGAGAGAGAGAGAGAGAGAGAGAGAGAGAGAGAGAGAGAGAGAGAGAGAGAGAGAGAGAGAGAGAGAGAGAGAGAGAGAGAGAAGAGAGAGAGAGAGAGAGAAGAGAGAGAGAGAGAGAGAGAGAGAGAGAGAGAGAGAGAGAGAGAGAGAGAGAGAGAGAGAGAGAGAGAGAGAGAGAGAGAGAGAGAGAGAGAGAGAGAGAGAGAGAGAGAGAGAGAGAGAGAGAGAGAGAGAGAGAGAAGAGAGAGAGATGAAAGAGGAAGAGAGAGAGAGAGAGAGAGAGAGAGAGAGAGAGAGAGAGAGAGAGAGAGAGAGAGAGAGAGAGAGAGAGAGAGAGAGAGACAGAGAGAGAGAGAGAAAGAGAGAGACATAAAGAGAGAAAAATCAGAGAGAGAGAGAAAGAGGCACAGAGAGAGAGAGAGAGACAAAAACAATAAAGGCTAAAAGGGAAAAAATAAACCCAAACCGAAAAAAGCGAATGGAAGTACAAAAGGAAACGGGCGAAAAGAGAGGAGGAAGAAAACACGAGAGAAAGAGAAAGACGCAGCAAGAACAAAGAAAGATTTTTCAAAGGAGGAAGATCAAAGAGAAGAGGAGAAAGAGAGAAGTCAGTTTAAAGAGTAAATGATAGCTATGAAGATTATAAAAGGGAAACATGAGAGATTAAAAGACCCAGAATCTTTTCAAAATCCAATCAATTTTGACGTAATCAGGATTAGAAAAAATAGAATAAAAAAATACATAATCAGGATTAGAAAAAAAAAACAAAATAAAAATATACATAATCCGGATTGGAAAAAAATAAAAAGTACATAATCAGGATTAGAAAAAAAAAAGAATAAAAAACACATAATCAGGATTAGAAAAAAAATCTTTCTTATAATCAAGATTAGAACGATTCGCCGATCATCACGACCGGCTGGAGAGATTAGATGCCGCGGGGAAAGGAATCGGCCCTTGCGAGTTATCACCGAATCACTTTGATTGGTGTTGAGAGGAGTGAGGATTCGGAATGGCAAAGAAAATGAGAAACTAAATCCTTTTTTTTTTTACGTCGATTTTATTTATTTATTTATTTATTTATTAATCACATTGGTCTATTTCAAATATAAACTGAAAAAAAATCAGGTTACATTATATGAAGTAATATCCTGTAACAAGAATTTCAAATGAAAATAATAGTGTAAACGCACATTAAAAGGAGTTTAAATTCTATATCAAATACACGAATATATGATGAAAAGGACAATAAACATAAATACAAATCAGATACAAAAAAAAAATCCATATAAGAAATCATAAATAAATACATAAATAAGGAAAAGGTAATGAAATATATAATTTAAACATAAAAATAAAACAAGAACAAAAGTGATGAAGAAGGAAAATGAAACACAGAAAGAATTTATTAGATAGGAATAATAATAAAAAGTCAACATCAAGAAGAGAGACGGGTCACAGGGAACGAAGAGAAACACGAGAAAGTAGAAGAGAGGGAGGAGAAAGTAAAATAAAGAAGGGAGGAGGAAGAAGGAAAAGAAGAAGAGAGAAGAAGGAAGAGAATTCAGAAGAGGAGTAAGAAGAAATGGATAAGATAGGAAGGACAAAGTAAAATAAAAGAGGGAGGATAAAGAAGTAAAAGAAGAAGCGAGAAGGAGTAAGAGAATGAACAGAAGGAGGAAGTAAAAAAAAAGAGAAAAGGGGAAGGAGGGAGGAAGGAAAAGAAGAGAGTGAGTAAGAGAGAATGAGGAAGAGAATAAATAAGAGTAAAATGGAGAGAATGAAGAAAGGAGGGAGAGGACGAGAAGAAAGAAGAAGGGAGGAGGAGGAAGAAAAAGAAAAGAGAGGAGGAGGAAGAGGAGAAAGAAGAAAGGACAGATAAAGAACAAGAAGGAAAAGGGAGAAGGATAGGAGGAACAAGAAATAAAAATGAAGAAGAGGAGAGAAGGAAGAAAAGGAGAACGAAGAAAGGGGAGGAAGAGGAAGAAGAAGAGAAAGAGGAAAGGGGAGGAAAAGGAAGAAGGGAATGGGAGAAGAGTAGAAGGAATAGAGACTCAGAGGAAGTAAAAAAAGAAGAAGAATGAAGAAAATAAAGGAGAGGGTAAGAAGGAGGGGAGAGGAAAAGGAAGAAGATCAAGAAAAGGACAAACGAGAAAGAAGAAGAGAGGAAAGGAGAGAATAAGAGAATATGAAGGAAGGGGGAAGTAGAAGAGAAAGAAGGAAGAAAAAATAAAACGAAGAGGAAGATTAATGGGAATAAAAGCAGGTGAGGAAGAGAAGGAAAAGATGGAGGGATTTGGACGTAAGGAAGAAGAAGGAAGAAGAAAGGAAGAGAGAGAAGGAAGATAACAAGAGGGTACAGAGAGGGAAGCAAAAAAAGAGGAGATAAAAAAGGAAGAAGAAAAGAGGAGACCGTGAAAATTAGAGAAAATAGATGACAAAGAAAATAGAAGAAAAGAGGAGATAGAGAAAGCAAAAGAAAAGAGAAGACAGAGAGGAAAGAGAAAACAGAAGGAAAAGAAAACAAGAAAATAAAAAGAAACGAGGATAGAGAAAAGAGAAGAAAGAAGAAGGAAGAGGAAATATAAGACAAAGAAAATAGAAGAAGAAGACAGAGGAGGAGGAAGCAGAGACAAAGAAAATAGAAGAAAAGAAGAGACAGAGCAGAGACAAAGAAAATAGAAGAAAAGAGGAGACGGAGAGGGAAGAAGAGACAGAGGAGGAGGAACCAGAGACAAAGAAAATAGAAGAAAAGAGGAGACAGAGAGGGAAGAAGAGATGGAGGAGGAGGAGGAAGCAGAGAGAAGGGGACGAAGACGGAGAGGAGGAGAGGAGGGCTTCCGGCCTGTCGAAATATTTTAATCCAAGATGAAAGACGTTTGTGATCAAGTGGCGCCGCGATTATAGCCCTTAGGTGGAGGGGTCTTTAGGTCGAGTGTCCGGACGGCGGGACTGACCTTGCTGCTCCTTGGTGACGTATGATCAGAACGGGGATAAAAAGATCCCTAATTATTTCGTTTGTATGTTCGGCATATGCGCCCGTTCCCCTGGCGAGCCGTTCCTCTGGCGAGCCGTTCCTCTGGCGAGCCGTTCTCCTGTTCCTCTGGCGAGCCGTTCCCCTGGCGAGAGCCGTTCTGGCGAGCCGTTCCCCTGGCGAGCCGTTCCTCTGGCGAGCCGTTCTGGCGAGCCGTTCCTGGCGAGCCTTCCTCGGCGAGCCGTTCCTCTGGCGAGCCGTTCCTCTGGCGAGCCGTTCCTCTGGCGAGCCGTTCTCCTGGCGAGCCGTTCCTCTGGCGAGCCGTTCCCCTGGCGAGCCGTTCCTGTGGCGATGTTCCTCTGGCGAGCCGTTCCTCGAGCTTCTCTGGCGAGCCGTTCCTCTGGCGAGCCGTTCCTTGGCGAGCCGTTCTGGCTTCCTCTGGCGAGCCGTTCCCTGGCGAGCCGTTCCCTGGCGAGCCGTTCCCCTGGCGAGCCGTTCCTCTGGCGAGCCGTTCCTGGCGAGCCGTTCCTCTGGCGAGCCGTTCCCTGGCGAGCCGTGGCGAGCGTTCCTCTGGCGAGCCGTTCTCCTGGCGAGCCGTTCCTCTGGCGAGCCGTTCCCCTGGCGAGCCGTTCCTCTGGCGAGCCGTTCCTCTGGCGAGCCGTTCCCCTGGCGAGCCGTTCCCCTGGCGAGCCGTTCCTCTGGCGAGCCGTTCCCCTGGCGAGCCGTTCCTCTGGCGAGCCGTTCCTCTGGCTGGGCGAGCCGTGGCGAGCCGTTCCCCTGGCGAGCCGTTCCTCTGGCCGAGGCGAGCCGTTCCTTTCTGGCGAGCCCTTGGCGAGCCGAGCCGTTCCCCTGGCGAGCCGGCGAGCCGTTCCTCTGGCGAGCGTTCCCTGGCGAGCCGTTCCGTTTCTCTGGCGAGCCGTTCTCCTGGCGAGCCTTTCCTCCGGCGAGCCGTTCCTCCCGTTCCTCTGGCGAGCCGTTCCCCTGGCGAGCCGTTCCTCTGGCGAGCCGTTCCTGGCGAGCCGAGCCGTTCTCTGGCGAGCCGTTCCTCTGGCGAGCCGGAGCGAGTTCCTGGCGAGCCGTTCCCCTGGCGAGCCGTTTCTTGGCGAGCCGTTCCTCTGGCGAGCCGTTCCTGGCGAGTGGGCGAGCTTCTCTGGCGAGCCGTTCCCCTGGCGAGCCGTTCCTAGGCGAGCCGCCGTTCCTCTGGCGAGCGTTCCCTCTGGCGAAGCCGTTCCCTGGCGAGCCGTTCCCCTGGCGAGCCCGTTTCCTTGGCGAGCCGTTCCCTGGCGAGCCGTTCCTCTGGCGAGCCGTTCCCGGCGTTCTGGCGAGCCGTTCCTCTGGCGAGCCCGTTCCTGGCGCCGTGGCGAGCCGTTTCCTCTGGCGAGCCGTTCCTCTGGCGAGTTTCCTCTGGCGAGCCGTTCCTCTGGCGAGCGTTCCTCTGGCGAGCCGTTCTCTGGCGAGCGTTCCTCTGGCGAGCCGTCAGCTGTTCCTCTGGCGAGCCGTTTCCTGGCGAGCCGTTCTCTGGCGAGCCGTTTCTCCTGGCGAGCCGTTCTCTGGCGAGCCGTTCCCCTGGCGAGCGTGGCGAGCCGTTCAGCCGTTCTCTGGCGAGCCGTTCCTCTGGCGAGCCGTTCGCCGTTCCTGGCGAGCCGTTCCTGGCGAGCCGTTCCCCCGTTGGCGAGCCTGGCTGAGCCGTTCCCCTGGCGAGCCGTTCCCTGGCGAGCCGTTCTCTGGCGAGCCTTCTCCTTCCCCTGGCGAGCCGTTCCTCTGGCGAGCCGTTCCCTGGCGAGCTTCCTCTGGCGAGCCGTTCACCCTGGCGAGCCGTTCCTCTGGCGAGCCGTTCCCTGGCGGAGCCGTTCCTCTGGCGAGCCGTTCCTCTGGCGAGCCGTTCCCCTGGCGAGCCGTTCCCTGGCGAGCCGTTCCTCTGGCGAGCCGTTTCTTGGCGAGCGTTCCTGGCGAGCCGTTCCTCTGGCGAGCTGTTCCTCTGGCGAGCCGTTCCCTGGCGAGCCGTTCCTCCGGCGAGCCGTTTCCTCCGTTCCCCTGGCGAGCCGTTCTCTGGCGAGCCGTTTTCCTGGCGAGCCGTTCCTCTGGCGACCGTCCTGGCGAGCCGTGGCGAGCCGTGCGAGCCTTCCTCTGGCGAGCCGTTTTTCCTGGCGAGCCGTTCCCCTGGCGAGCCGTTCCTGGCTCTGGCGAGCCGTTCCTGGGCGAGCCGTGTTCCTCTGGCGAGCCGTTCCTTTTTCTGGCGAGCCGTTCCTCTGGCGAGCCGTTCCTCCTGGCGAGCCGTTCCTCTGGAGCCGTTCCTGGCGAGCCGTGGAGCCTCCTGGCGAGCCGTTCCTCTGGCGAGCCGTTCCTCTGGCGAGCGTTCGTGGCCCCTGTTCCTCGATATTCGGCGAGCCGTTCCTCTGGCGAGCCGTTCCTGTTCCCTGGCTAGCCGATCCCTGCCGCCGTTCCCCTATATATATACATATGTGTGTGTGTATTGTGGTGTGTGTGTACATATATATATATATATATATATATATATATATATATATATATATATATATATATATATATATATATATATATATATATATATATATATATATATATATATATACATATATATATAAATATGCTTATTATATATATATATATATATATATATATATATTATATATATATAATATATATATATATATATATATATATATATATATATATAATATATATATATATATATATATATATATATATATATATATATATATATATATATATATATATTATATATTATATATATATATATATATATATATAATATATATATATATATATATATATATATACATATATATATATATATATATATATATATATATAATATATATATATATATATATATACATATATATATACATATATATATATATATATATATATATATATATATATATATATATATATATATATATATATATATATATATATAATATATATATATATATATATATATATATATACATATATATAATATATATATATATATATATATATATATATATATATATATATATTATATATATATATATTATATATATATATATATATATATGCCATATTACGAACAGTCAATCCTTCTCGCTTGCTGCATGACCCTGGCTGAGGAAGCTGGTTGGGAGAAACATGCAAATAAACCAAAGACCCAAAAATTCTTGTCGGCAGTTCCGACTGACGAGGAAGAATCCCTCTATCGTTTAATGAATTCCACTGGACTTTAAAAGTCTATAAATCCAAAATCACACCGATATATATATATTTTTTTTTTTTTTATTTTTTATTTATTACGAGTACGAGCTTCGTCCTCACTAAAATGCGTCCAGTCTTAGGAGTGAGGAATAACTAAGCAGCTCATTCCAGCCTTCAGGTAATTATATTTACTTTTCTTTATTTTTTATACAATTTTCTTGTTATGTTTTTACCAATGTTAACGGCCATCAACACCACTTTATTATTTTTAATTGAATCAAAGTATTTGTCTTACCTTGGACACACGCACATAGACATAAATCCATCTAAGTGTATGTATGTATGCATGAACATTTAGTGTGTGTGTGTGTGTGTGTGTGTGTGTGTGTGTGTGTGTGTGTGTGTGTGTGTGTGTGTGTGTGTGTGTGTGTGTGTGTGTGTGTGTGTGTGTGTGTGTGTGTGTGTGTGTGTGTGTGTGTGTGTGACGAAAATAAAAATATGAGAAAAATACAATGACGAATCAGTAGAACCGTTATATACTGTAACTGAGATCACCAAAAACGAAACGAACACATAAACAAACAGACATAACGTATCGAAGAGTTTAGAAGAAAAAAAAAGCTTCACGCTAAAGAAAAAAGTAATTATAATTATATGACAAAAAATAATCATCCTAATTTACACATTCGAAAACTATATCTCCAAATCATTAAAAACCGTTCACGATGAGGACACAATCACGAACCAGTGGCGCCCTTCGAATCACGTGATCCGATGAGATTTGCAAAGCTCTTGTTCATATTTTGTCCAAGATTTTATTAAACTCTTAGCCTTCCCTCCCTCCGCCCCCTTCCCCCTCCCCCACTCTTAAAATCCTTTTAATCGGCGCAGTCACATGCATCTAACCGAGAAGGAGTAAACTTCTCAACTACGGACAGATGGAGCTCCTATTCTCGACCTTATACCCTCGTGACGTAAGGCTTGTTATGCCGTGGTGGAAAAATGGCCTCAATATGTGCTTGCGTGGAATATTCGCCCCGTGGAACTCATAATACTTTTCAGTGTTTCTTAAAAATTTTCTGTCGGAAGGGTATCTTCATCATAGAGCTCAAAATCCATATGGATTTATAAGGAATCGCAAACTCTACGCACGATTTTGTAGCTTTGTGGTTATTCATTTCTGCATCTAATCGAAATCTGGATTAGTCTTTGGTTCCGAGATTAAGTACCTTAATAGTCTTACCGTACAACTGTCTTCGGTCAAATATTCTTTTCCACTATCTTTAGATATAAGCATTTATTCCATTTCTTGATTGCTTCTTTTGCATTACTCTGAAAATGTACAAATACGTATAATGCAACTCATGCATAGGTTATGCATTCGCATTCAATCGTACTTTTTTCTACGCTTGCCGTCATTAACACAAGAATAGAATCAAGAATAAGCATTTCACCAAAAGCTTTAGTACTGCCCAAAGGTCAAAGTGGGCCCCGCATCCAAGTAGATGTAGAGGACATGTTCGTAGAGGAACGTGCCTACCAAGTCGCTGGACGATGCGGTAGGGTGGCCCGTTCCTTTCCGCCTCGACTTTGACCCCAACATGCTGATGTCGACATGCCAGTACTTACATCCGAGTCGACAGAGCAGGGCAGCCAGGAGCGAACCCAAGACCTCGCGGTTACAAAGCTAGCACTCTACCACTGAGCTCTGCCACCTCTAATTGTACTGAAGCATTGGTACTTTCAAG